ATAACGTTGCAAAGACTTCGCAACCAGCAAAGGTGGATAGTAACAAACATCTAATGATCTAACAACTCAGTATTCAACATCAGTACATCAGTAAAGCACGTTTACATCGTCGCTGCGACCACTGACTAGGAACCTAGGCATATTGTTGCACTATTTCTGGATCACACCGTCTCCGAAATACATATTGATATTAGTTGAAGGTGAAGTTACTCACCAGGAGTGCTTTGCAACTTTTTTTATACTTGGTCGGGCCGCTGGGTCCATGCTAAATAATTTTCTCATTAGGTCTTGCAAATCTACAGATAAAAAATTCGAATACAAAATCCTGGATGGCTTTGTCGTATATATGAGAAAAACGAAAAAACAACAAGCAAGATTTAAATGAATTTAGCAACAACGGTTGGTGTGATTGATATGCATTCCAACTTCAAAAGGGAATTCGGGAATATATGTATGAATGCTGATCTCTATATTTTCCGGCTTTCTCTAACCTGTTATAATTTCATGAATTTAACTCACCTTCAGATAAATCATCCAGTTTTGGCGGTCCTGATATAACATCTGCAAATGTTGTGTAATCCGTAAAAGCTGGTTCGCCGTGCAACATTTCATATATCATGACTCCAATAGACCGCACAGCTTCCTTGCAAGGATCATACAATTCATGCAGAATGTATTCTGGAGGCATATTGTATGGAGTGCCTGAGGGAATAAAACATGTACAATGCAATTAACCAGTCTTTTTGAATGGAATAAAACTACTAAGCAATGACCGGAAAAGTTGAAATTTAAGAAAATGAGAAATATTACTGGGGTTGATAGTTTTACAACAGATTAAACCTGACTAAAATTAAAGCCAGTATTATGAAACCTGAAAAAGTAAATTCTCACAGGTTCGATCAAGGATTTTTAACAATGTAGATGATGAATTGCTACCTTGGAAGAGAAATTGGAAAGACAAATTTGTTTTATGATAACAAAATCTCACGCTAAAGGTGCATGGGAACGGAATTTGGTGATTAAAACTCAGACAACAGAGATAACAACCTCGTACCCAGGGTCTTTTTACCTCCGCTCCAAGGTCCACGCTGGTACAAGGTTGCAGAGGTAAATTATTCATGACATTCCAGGAAAGTTTACTCACCACAGAAAGCGTCAACTAGGTTGCCAGGTTTATTATAGCCTGCAAATCCAAAATCAAGCAACTTGATTTCACCAGTATCAAAATCATAAAGGATGTTCTCCAATTTCAGATCACGATGAACGATGTTCTTCTTGGACATCGCCAATACAACGTTGACCAACTTCTTCATGCATTGTTGAGTTTCATCCTCGGTGAAGAAACCTCCAACGTCCCACATGAGGCTTCGGAGATCTTTGCAATGAGTCGGTCTTTCGCAAATGATCACAAATTCCTCAGATGATAAAAACTGATAATGATAGAACTTGATGACATTTGGATGATCTTTCATCTTCTTCAGGAAATACACTTCACTTGGTACATCACCGAGGTCTTTATCCTGTTAAAGAACAATTGTAGGAGAATTCGATACCGTTGTTTAGCAAACGAAGGACAATTGTTCGATAGGGTGTCCTAGTACAGTACCCGCTTCTGTCCGCTGTTTCAAAAGTGGAGGTGCACAATGCGAAAATGATTACTTTTCTTCATGCTACACAAATCTTTGATACGATCAAAGAACCATTGCTGATTTCACGAAATTTTAGGTAACTTAATTTAATTTTGAAATTCAGACTGGAAATTAGATACCTCTTTGATTCAAAATGGTAATTCAACGTCGTCATGAGTGGAAACGGCTAACAAAATTAATCATTTAATATGTTTGCAACACTCAATTTTCACGGACTGTAAGCTATATCATCTCCTATGCTCAAAACTTCAACCTCGTGGAGTTTCTACGACCTTACTGTAACTCACCTTGCGATACTCACGAACCGTTTTATAATCTATAAATTTCAGGGCGACCTAAAAGAAGAAAAAAATTAACCACTTACATCGATGGTTTTCCTGAAAAATTCAACGGTATGGCTGACAACTAGTAAGATTTGGGCATTTTACTTCATCTCAGAAGCATGGAGGGCAATATGGCAAATAATGCCGAGGAATGTTTGTTTTAGGAAGGAGAGACATTTTGTAAGAATTACCGGTGTTTTTTTGGTTCCTTTTATGGCATAACCCTTGAAAACTCCACCAAATCCACCTTCGCCAATCAAGCCATTTTCGATATAGTAGTATGTCACACCTGAAAGTCAAAAGCAATTGCTTGTTAATACAACTAAATAACTAAAGAAATATGTAAAGTAAAATGGATTTTAGAATAAAAAAACAAATGCTAAAAAAATAGGTTCGTGATTTCTATAACGTTAGAATCGACTTGCCTTTTGACTTGCAAACTTCAACAAGGTTTTCCCCATCGACAACTCTAGTGACGCGTGGCACATTTGAAGGTTGGGAAGGTTTGACTTGGCTTTCTTTCATGATTTTCCACTTGATGAGTTTTTCTTTCAAAATGTTACGCTTTCTCTTCACGTCATAGATGCTTGGAAATATAAATTGAAAAATTTTTTGTGTGTAATGGGAATATTTTAACAAATACAGCTGTTGTTAACTTGTTTGTTTACTTTACGGACTGCATGTAGCTACACCATCTTAAATTATCAATAAATACCGCGCCTACCTTTCATTTGTGCTATCTGGAACTGCAGATGAGCAAGATTGAAGCTATAAACATAAAGAATATCGTTATGAGTTAGTGAGTTGACTTGTGCTTATTGTGTTTCTATTTAATTGCATTAATATCAAAATGTTATTGAACAAAAATTTGTTAGAATCAAAAGTACTGAAGTTTGCCGATCTTTCATTGTTATTTTTGAGATAAATTTAATCTTCAAAAAGAGTTTTGGAATGTAAGCTGCTCATTTCTTACCATTTGTTGAGACGATTGTGAGATTTGGAAGAGTTCACCGGCAGAATGTTGGTTTCCACTGTGTATTAATGAAAATGAAGAATGTTTAGTTAAAGAATGAAAGATGAAGAATATCGCATTTAGAAATTGCTGCCCTATTTTTTACTACCTAATTTTTCGGTACAAACATGAAGCTAAATATTTGTCGACGTATATAATAGAGGGTGCCCAGAAATATTGCGCTAAGTTAAAGATAGGCGCAAACAGGGGCGTGTTTTAAATTTTGATCGAGGCTGGCGCACACTTAGCAATTTTCCGCGGCCCTTGGATGACCCCACTAAATCCGCCTTAGAAAACGCATCATAAAACCCTCAAACTATAGCACTTTGAAAGACTGAAATCTTAGATAAATAAAATCTTACCAATCCCAGGAATACTCCATGTCAAAGAAGCGTAAAAACTGAAATAGTAAATAGTAAAAAGTCTGGTTAAGTGGAGAGTTGAACTGACTTCTCAAACTCAAACAGCAAAGACGCGCCTTTGAAATAATAACATGTGTTATTTCAATATCTCATAACCATACTACTTCCTAGAATATTTATGCACGGATTTTACAACATCAACTAGAGTAATTTCCTTTGTTTCAAATCATGAATTATATCAGGAAAAATTAGAATACAACCTAAAATTATGCAACTGTTTAGGTGATCAATATACGTGATAAAAAAGCAAACTTATTTTTCAATTTATAATAAAAAGTTCTTTACCTCAGAATACTCCGAGATTTGAGACGCGTTTACGTAATCAAATGAACACTGGACACTACCAGCACTAAAAATGATATTTTGTATTAATGTAGGGGACTTGAAGTGGTAAAAGTCTGTAACCTCACCAAATAAAAGAACAGGTTTATATATTCAGAAGGTAAATCAATTACGTTTATTTACGTCTTATATTACGTAATATATTAAGTTTTACTCATGCATCCCAAATTCAAGCCAGGAATAGTCGAGAAAAAAGTTGTCATACGTTGCCTTGTTAGAATTCAAACCTACGCCTTTGCGTGCCGACATTACCATCGTAAATAACACTAACACGTTGCTCCTATGAGCTACATCAGCTATGAGAAAGATCATTGCAAAGGCATCATAAAGGAGAAGGTTTGATTTCTGCGGAAGGCCACTTCTCACAGGCATCGGAAAGTTTGCTAAATTTTTTCTCCTACTGACACTAGAACAAGTTCAGCATAAACTTAACATCTCCCCCTTGCGTTGAAAAATGAGGGTAGCTAAATGGGTAAGAAGCGCTTGTATGGTTTGTCGTGACGCAAGGAATACCTTTTTATTATTATACTTTATAATAAAATATTACGTATTATTATCATCCTTATTTTTTCGTATCACAGATTAATAATATTTCCCCAAAATGAAGACAAACACGTGTCAATATAATAAAACATCCTTATGTTATAGCTAGACGCAATGTAAATAAAGATCATACCTCAGAGATCTCTCAAACGTTTCTTCTTCAAACGAAAATACTGATTCCTCCTGTGAAAATTAGAACGTTTATAAGCTTATTAAAGTACTGCTTTAATTCCCGATTACAATTCATTCTTACACAGAACCGTCCACAAAAGAAAAACACTAATTCATACCTTATAGGAGATCCGAGAATCATTAGAATTCATATTCCTGGACAGAGGGGAAAGAAAAAATGCGTGAATAATGTTAAAAAGTTTTAAACAAAAATTCCCTTAAAGATCGAAGCGCAGTCTTAAACGTTTAGAGAGTGAGAAACACGCAGAACGCAATTCTAGGCCATTCATACGCCTAAATGTAAAAATGTTATACAAAAATTCTTATTACAAAGCCGTATATATACAAGATGTATGAGAGTATTTTTAAACTTTGGCTTATTCATGCACCGTTTAAGCTAAACGCCTTTCGAACAACCGCTACCAGAAAGTTTGCCAAATTTTTTGTCCTACTGACACAAAAAAAATTCCATCTAACATCTCCCCTTGCGTTGAAAGATGAGGGTAGCTAAATGAGTAAGAAGCACTTGTATGGTTTGTCGTGACGCAAGGAATACCTTTTTATTATTATACTTTATAATAAAATATTACGTATTATTATCATCGTTATTTTTTCGTATCACAGATGAATAATATTTGCCCAAAATGAAGACAAACACGTGTCAATATAATAAAACATCCTTATGTTATAGCTAGACGCAATGTAAATAAAGATCATACCTCAGAGATCTCTCAAACGTTTCTTCTTCAAACGAAAATACTGATTCCTCATGTGAAAATTAGAACGTTTATATAAGCTTATTAAAGTACTGCTTTAATTCCCGATTTCCAATTCATCCCTAAAATCACAGAACCGTCCACAAAAGAAAATAACTAATTCATACCTTATAGGAGATCCGAGAATCATTAGAATTGATATTCCTGGACAGAGGGGAAAGAAAAAATGCATGAATAATGTTAAAAGTTTTAAACGTTTAGAGAGTGAGGCCCCAAAACACGCAGAACCCAATTCTAGGCCATTCATACGCCTAAATGTAAAGATGTTACACAAAAATTCTTATTACAAAGCCGTGAATTGACGTGGAACGGGCGTTTGGATTTACGCGCGCGTTTTTATTTGCGCGTGCATTTACTTTGTTCGTTCCGCTGAACTGCCGTGTTTAAGTATAATTTTGATTTCCATTTTTTAAATCTCAAAACCAGTTTACGTTGTCGATTTCGACGGTGAACTAAATTCTCTTCCTTCCGAAACACAAGCGGAACTGTGTAAACACTTCTCTCTCCTTATATTTTATAAATTAAGCCACTTAATAATACGCAAAATGAATTAAAACAAAAAATATATGCGAACCACAATTATTTTTACACTAAACAATAAAATCTTAAATATACTTACATATTTTCTCGATAATTTCAATCTAGAATATTGAACAGCAATATAACAACGCTTTTGAAAACAATTTGCAACGAACTAACTTCGCGAAATGTGAACCTCTCGAAAAATTTCGACAAGTGAGCGGTCCTTTGTTGACGTAGATAATTAATACTTTTGCGCCCACGAGTTTTGGTGAGCAAGCGAGACATTGAGTCAGCGTTCGCGATTACGTCGTAATATGGAAAATGTTATAGTATAAATAAGTACATATAATTATTCTATGTAAGTACATATTTATGCTGAAGTATGCAATCTACAATCTTGTGGTAATGTACAACGATTTCTTAAGCCTCGTTGACTCTCATTTACACCAGAGCGTTCGAAAAGTGCCTATAACATACTCAGTGATTCCCTCTTCAAAGGCGAGTTATTTTGAGCCATTTAAGCCGAACATCAGATTTACAGTCCTGTTCGTCGTTTTACATTAGGCCAAGAGTTGTTAAATTCAAAATTATAATGTATCTTCAGAATGTGTGCAAGGAAGAAGTTCTGTTTTAAAACATTCGGCGGGTTAATTGAACTTACTCAAGAAACCTTTTGCTCAGATTTCATATTTTTAGCTTTAGGAACCATCTACAGGTCTGTACTAATTGTGGTATTTTCTTCCGAAGAAAATGGGCTTTAAAAGCAGTCAAATCGAAGAGTTGAGTCAAATACCTTTGCAACAATTAAATAATTGTACGGCATGAATACAATGTCAGCGTTTTTCCTTTGTTTTCGTGACATGAAATAAGGACAGCGACTATAAAAATAATAAATATATAAAAACGATCAGGCTCAAAACGACTTAACAAAACGCATGCAACAAAATGCAGGCCCGTTCCAGACGTCGCACTTTTTATTTTGCGAATTGAAAGCAAAAACAGACTATAAGACTCTAGGTTCCGAATATGAATAGTTTGACGTCTGCGTACGGGCCTTATTATAGTTAATTAAAAGAAGACGGGTGTGATATTAAGCGCCTTTCTTGACTTATTCTTGGACCATATAAATTCATCACTCTACTTAGATTGACAGGACACAAGTTAGTGGGGAAAGCCCGTAAATTTAAAGTGTCTATTTGCAAGGGAATACCAAACAATCTCTGACGATACTGTATACGCCAATGGCAATGGCCGAATAACCAAATAAAACATTTTTAGTGGTAGTACCTCGTTCAAGCATATTATAGTAATGACACGTCTTTGATAACACTTTAGTACGGCACAAATGCCTCTGGAAATAGTAAAAAGAATGGGGATTACTACCTTATTTTAGGGCGGTTATACCAACTATGCACCCTTACTGTAGATAGTAAATTACTCAGTTTATCGACCGTGCAAGAAAATGGGTACATGGTATGTATTTGAGCCACATAACTCCAACGAAGTCATTTACACTTGCCTTTGCCGTGTGCGTTTCTTGTTCAAGAACCTGGGGATGAATGCACAGCTGGTCACGTGAACCTAGCACGCATACTTTGGGTCTGAAACAAAAATCAACAGAAAACGTCAATTTGAAATTTTCCTCACAGTTAAATCTTAGTTTCCCAGTTGAACTCAGCACTCAGGGCTTCATGTTTAATCGTGTGACCCTGCGTTGTTTTTGCGCTGGGGTTTTACAGTAAACTGACTGATTTCAATCAGGTTAAAATTTCAGGCTGTGAATGCCGGGCTGAATTCAACCGCAAGCCAGTTGAAATTTGAAAATGTTTTATATAATATGAGCGGCGTATATAATTAACTTACTTGTAAACCGTATTCTTCAGCTCATTTACGACTTGTGTAAGTTGTGAATGGGTTCTTGATGTGTAGATGATTTTTGGTACTGAATACTCGGGAGCTTATAAAGAGAAAAGTGATACAGTAGGAAGCTTCTCTAACATTTAATTAAGACGGTTAGAATATTTAGCTGAATGTGAGCTAGATAAGCAGGATATGCTCACATCCAAATAATCAAAGAAACAATAGCTACGCGTTTTTTATTACAGGACCAAATTATAAGCGCTGTAAAACACAATTGCTCATACTACATCATTTCTGTTGCTTGGTCATGTGATGAAAAAACGTGCAGCAATTGGTTCTTTGATTATTTATAGTATCTAGCTCGCATTCTGATTGGTTCCTGAGTTCGCTAGAGTTGCTCCATTTTGGCGCGAAATCGTAACATTCGCATTGTAGAACCGCCGTTGAGAAGTATATCTGGAAAATGTTTACTATTTTTCGCTTGGTAAGAAATATAATATCAATATTACAGTTTCAACTGGGTTCGCTATTTTTACATTTTTTAGCCCGTTGTTTTATTGAAAATGTGGAATATTCCTAAACAGGTTAAAAATTCTAATTATTGAAAATGGCAACAAAATCTAAAAGCAACACATACGCCATTTTTCAGGTAAACATAATTTCATCAGATTATATGAAGATTCATGAAGATGTTGTTTTGAAATTGTGTTTTTTCTAACCTTTTACAGTAAGTTGTGTCTTGTTATTAAGGGCAAAAATCACAATGTAAACAAAGTTATACGAAAGTTGAATGACTTCAGAAACCTGTTGCGCTTGGAATTTTCGTTAAAAATCGTTCCGTGTATCAATTTCGAGACTTATTATGGGCTGTACAGAAAAATACCTGAACTATAGTTCCCGCTACTTTATTTTCATAAAAACTAGACTAAATGCCCTTATGGACTTTATGCCCAGATAATAGGCAATATATATGCGTTCAAATCAGACTCACATTTTACAATAGTTTACCTTCACTTCACTTTACATTTACGGATTTTACCTTCACTTTCTTCTGACATCCAGCAGCAGCATGCCCAAGTTTCTTCTAAATCATCACAAACTGGCCACTTGCTTTATTTTCTTGAACCTTATACTCAGTTGCAAGCGAGCCACAAATGTGCTCCAGGCCAGTGTGCACAAAGTAAACATAATGTCTTTCCAGTTCCTGTTGGTGATTCTAAGATACCATTTTTACCCTGAAAAGGTAGGAGTTATTGGGAGAAAGCTGGCTATTGTGTATAAGTATGGGGTGTATGGTGGGGTGAGCCACATATAAACCCACCTAGTTGTAAATATTACAACACCTAAAAGAAAAAAATCCACAGGTTTTTTAGTAATTGTTGATATCCCTTAACACCTGATGATATTGATCATTAATTATATTTTAGCAACATTTAGACACAAAACTTGATGCAAATAAAAATCATTATATTTCGGGGAATTAATCGCCAGATAATGTGCTGCTATAATTTTCAATTTTTCATTCTTGCGGCAACTGTCAGGTAAAATTCTTTTGTTTGTACCAAAGTTGAAATGATAGAAATTAGAGACCTGGATGTACAAGACATTAAGGGGCTGTTTACATGAGCCCTACAGGAAGGGAGGGCTAGCCAACCTGTAGGGCTGTTTTTCACCTCTGTTTACATGCAAAATTCTAACCCCACATCTACGGCTGAGTCTGGACGGCACATTTTGGCACCAAAAACAAAATGGCTGGCACCAAAAAAAACACAAAATTGTTATTTCACTATTTATTTAAAATATCTTTACTTTCCTAATGATTTTTCAACAGTACCCTGTTATGCCTCGAAAATTAATGAAGAAAGCTGGAACCGTCAAATAGTGTCATCGCTGACGTCAAATCTTTGCTAGCTGCCCTGTTACGTTTACATGGAAAATTTCTAGCCTACCAGGGTGAGATCTCGCCTGGTAGGGTTGGCCTCCTCTAATGAAAACAAAATTTTTCTTAGTATGGATTCATAGTAGCATGAGCTATCGCGTTGGTAGGGCTAGCTAGCCTTCCCTATAGGGCTCATGTAAAAGCCCTCAAGTGATTTTTAAAAATATACATTGGCTGGTAATCTGAAGATTTTTGTGTGAGTTAGTGCACAGGAAAAAATTGAAATGCATTTTAAGATTTTGGTGCTTTCTTTCTAATTGATTAATGATTAACAAAGACTAAATTTATTGCAAAAATATTCTGGAATGGATCGAGATTAATAATAGCTGATATTCATGGAAATTTTGATCATCTTCTGCAACTGTTCACGCTATACCCTTTTTAAAATGCAGGAACAAAACGTGTTATTTGTGACTTTATATCACCAAGAGTACTGTACTGTCTGTACTACATAAACATTGAGTCAAAATGCATTAATCAAGAGTCAAGAGATTAAAGAGAATAGGAATGCATCAGTGTCGATGTGTCAGCGATCAAAGACTAACAAGAATCGTACCGACTCATAATCATCTGAGACAAGGTCTATGTTATTAAACACTATCAAAATTCAAAACAAAATAATTATAAAATGTAGGCGAACCAACCTCTTGCAAACATTCAATAACTTTGCTCATGTAGTTTACTTGCAGTCGTAAGGCTTGTATGGGAAATCAATTTCGACTCCCGTACCTTGAATCACTGCATGGTTGAACGGTGATCTAAAATACTACATTTTGTGCAAAAGTATCGCCTTAAAATTCTACAAAGTAACAAAAGCAAACGATCAGAGCAAATGCTTATTTTTTTCACAATTGCGCCATTTGTCTTCGTTAGTACTCAGTCTCTCAGGACGGCACTGAACTCATGCTTAACAGGTTGGTTGAATAACTTGTAAATAGCGGTAAAGTCTGTAATCTAAGAGCTAAAAGCTAGCTAAACTCCACTGAACTGAAATAGATCTTATGCATAATGGCGTATCAAGCCAGCAGAGAATTCTGTTTTAGTAGTCACTGCGAAAATTCAAACTTACAATGCTATCATATAATGATATATATCATAATTTCAGCACTTAACAACTATTTACAATGATGTTTGCAATTGATCTTATACAAACATTTGCACAGCCTGTTCTCTAAACTAGTTTAATAATGCTCCTTTACTCTCCTGCAATCACAGTCACCATTGGTCTATAATGGCCTAGAGACTTTCAGCAGATACTCTAGACGATACATAGGTTATTGTCGACACTTTCTGGTTGATCAAGCAGCTCTCGCCAGTGGCTGCCACGTGGTATGTTAACTTTTCCGGAATGGTGCAGGTCAGGTGAATTTCCAACTTCGATTGATCGACCATTGAAGGAGGAGAGTACAAAAAGAGCAATTGGACTAGCATGATTGACCAATTACCGAGAAACATGAATAAGTCATAGCTGTATAAGTTCAGAGCATTAGCTAGTTCTTCAACACTGCTTGCAAATATGTTCTTCCTACTGGCCACCATGAGATGTCTTATTTGATGGAGAATGGTAACAGGAATATTAGCTTGGCGTCGTGGCTCCGGGTTCGCGAAAACGGAGCTGGCTCCGAGTTCGCGAAACCGTTTCATACAAACCGATGTGGCCGCTCGCTTTTATAGAAATGTTAAGAACATGGCCGAAATGAGAAGTTTTATTCATTTAGTTTGCTCGCAATAGCTCCGTAAAGTTGGCTAATTTTTGCACAAAGTTGATGGTCAGCGGCATGGGCGACGGCAAGGCTTTAAAAAGTTCGATTTACTAGCTTAGTTTTGTAAAAACCAAAAGATGGATTCGAGAGAAAGCTTATGAGAATATCTCTAGCTGCGAAATCACGACAGCAACTTGTTTAAAGTCTAGCATTTGATCATGCACGTACCCGTGATATAAATGTAATCCCTTCGCGAAGGCAACTAACCCGGTTGCAAATTTTGTTTTTCCACATAGGTTTTTCCACATATGATCAATGTCAATGTAAATGTCATATGATCAATATAACATTTGATCATATGACATTTACATTGACAATTGATCATATGACATTTACAGTTCAAAAACCTATGTGGAAAAACGCAGTAACCGGGCTAGTTGCCTTCGCGAAGGGATCCGGATTAAAATTTATGTCACGGGTGCGTGCATGAAATCAGACGGCTACAGAAGTTGCCTGTCGTGTTTTCGCAAGCTAGAAGGTTAGAAGTATAAGGATATTCTCATAAGCTGTCTCTCGAATGGCCATCTTTGAGTTTTTACAAAACTCGTCGTAAAGCTAGTAAATCGAACTTTTATAAAGCTGCCGCTGACCAGTCAACTTTGCGCCAACTTTAAAAAAAGCCAACTTTACGGAGCTACTAAATAAGACTCTCATTTTCGGCCATGTTCTTAAGAATATATATAAAAAAGAAAAATTAAGGCCTTTTTAAATTTTTCGATTTCCAAAGCGAAGCGGCCACATCGGCTTGTATGAAAACTAACCACTCCAGCTCCGTTTTCGCGAACCCGGAGCCACAAGCCTGGAGCTGAATATCCTGTCATCAGAATGGTAACTACTGGTCGCAATGGCTGGCCGGCTCATCGACAGTGATCGGCCATTCCTGTAATTTTCTTCCATAGACGTCTCCAACAATTCCTGACTGTTTATCTGGGATTGGTTCGATGACTGGCCAACAGATGACTGGCCACTGATTGTTGGCGATTTGCTTCCAGCTCTTTGGTGAAGAGCCTGGAATGACGTTTGTTTGGCCATGGCGACGGCAGAGACGTCGTACGAACCACGACGTCTGTGGAAAATACGACGGAAAAAGGATGACAGTCGTTCAGTAAATGAACGCTTTACTCGCAACCTTAAAGAGAAAAAACATAATTTCTATAATTGTTGCTATAGACCCCTAATCCTGATGATTTGAAGAATATTGTCATGCTAATAGACACAGCAAAACAACTTTCACAACAACACAGCCTTGTTTCAAAGCGTAAACGATTAGACAGAATTTATACAGAATTCAATATCTCATAAAGCGTAAACGATTAGACAGAAATAACGTTGCAAAGACTTCGCAACCAGCAAAGGTGGATAGTAACAAACATCTAATGATCTAACAACTCAGTATTCAACATCAGTACATCAGTAAAGCACGTTTACATCGTCGCTGCGACCACTGACTAGGAACCTAGGCATATTGTTGCACTATTTCGGATCACACCGTCTCCGAAATACATATTGATTAGTTAAAGGTGAAGTTACTCACCAGGAGTGCTTTGCAACTTTCTTTATACTTGGTCGGGCCGCTGGGTCCATGCTAAATAATTTTCTCATTAGGTCTTGCAAATCTACAAATAAAAAATTGGAATACAAATCCTGGATGGCCTTGTCATATATATGAGAAAAACGAAAAAACAACAAGCAAGATTTAAATATTCTTAGCAACAACGTTTGTGTGATTGATAAGCATTCCAACTTCAAAAGGGAATTCGGGAATATATGTATGAATGCTGATCTCTATATTTTCCGGCTTTCTCTAACCTGTTATTATTTCATGAATTTAACTCACCTTCAGATAAATCATCCAGTTTTGGCGGTCCTGAGATAACATCTGCAAATGTTGTGTAATCCGTAAAAGCTGGTTCGCCGTGCAACATTTCATATATCATGACTCCAATAGACCGCACAGCTTCCTTGCAAGGATCATACAATTCATGCAGAATGTATTCTGGAGGCATATTGTATGGAGTGCCTGAGGGAATAAAACATGTACAATGCAATTAACCAGTCTTTTTGAATGGAATAAAACTACTAAGCAATGACCGGAAAAGTTGAAATTTAAGAAAATGAGAAATATTACTGGGGTTGATAGTTTTACAACAGATTAAACCTGACTAAAATTAAAGCCAGTATTTTGAAACCTGAAAAAGTAAATTCTCACAGGTTCGATCAAGGATTTTAACAATGTAGCTGATGAATTGCTACTTTGGAAGAGAAATTGGAAAGACAAATTTTTTTATGATAACAAAATCTCACGCTAAAGGTGCATGGGAACGTAATTTGGTGATTAAAACTCAGACAACAGAGATAACAACCTCGTACCCAGGGTCTTTTTACCTCCGCTCCAAGGCCCACGCTGGTACGAGGTTGCAGAGGTAAATTATTCATGACATTCCAGGAAAGTTTACTCACCACAGAATGCGTCAACTAGGTTGCCAGGTTTATTATAGCCTGCAAATCCAAAATCAAGCAACTTGATTTCACCAGTATCAAAATCATAAAGGATGTTCTCCAATTTCAGATCACGATGAACGATGTTCTTCTTGGACATCGCCAATACAACGTTGACCAACTTCTTCATGCATTGTTGAGTTTCATCCTCGGTGAAGAAACCTCCAACGTCCCACATGAGGCTTCGGAGATCTTTGCAATGAGTCGGTCTTTCGCAAATGATCACAAATTCCTCAGATGATAAAGACTGATAATGATAGAACTTGATGACATTTGGATGATCTTTCATCTTCTTCAGGAAATACACTTCACTTGGTACATCACCGAGGTCTTTATCCTGTTAAAGAACAATTGTAGGAGAATTCGATATCGTTGTTTAGCAAACGAATGACAATTGTTCGATAGGGTGTCCTAGTACAGTACCCGCTTCTATCCGCTGTCTCAAAAGTGGAGGTGCACAATGCGAAAATGATTACTTTTCTTAATTCATGCTACACAAATCTTTGATACGATCAAAGAACCATTGCTGATTTCACGAAATTTTAGGTAACTTAATTTAATTTTGAAATTCAGACTGGAAATAAGATACCTCTTTGATTCAAAATGGCAATTCAACGTCGTCATGAGTGCAAACGGCTAACAAAATTAATCATTTAATATGTTTGCAACACTCAATTTTCACGGACTGTAAGCTATATCATCTCCTATCCCAAAACTTCAACCTCGTGGAGTTTCACGACCTTACTTTACTCACCTTGCTATACTCACGAACCGTTTTATACTTTACAAATTTCAGGGCGACCTAAGAGTAGAAAAAAATTAACCGCTTACATCGATGGTTTTCCTGAAAAATTCAACGGTATGGCTAACAACTAGTAAGATTTGGGCATTTTACTTCATCTCAGAAGCATGGAGGGCAATATGGCAAATAATGCCGAGGAATGTTTGTTTTAGGAAGGAGAGACATTTTGTAAGAATTACCGGTGTTTTTTTGGTTCCTTTTATGGCATAACCCTTGAAAACTCCACCAAATCCACCTTCGCCAATCAAGCCATTTTCGATATAGTATGTCACACCTGAAAGTCAAAAGCAATTGCTTGTTAATACAACTAAATAACTAAAGAAATATGTAAAGTAAAATGGATTTTAGAATAAAAAAACAAATGCTAAAAAAATAGGTTCGTGATTTCTATAACGTTAGAATCGACTTGCCTTTTGACTTGCAAACTTCAACAAGGTTTTCCCCATCGACAACTCTAGTGACGCGTGGCACATTTGAAGGTTGGGAAGGTTTGACTTGGCTTTCTTTCATGATTTTCCACTTGATGAGTTTTTCTTTCAAAATGTTACGCTTTCTCTTCACGTCATAGATGCTTGGGAATATAAATTGAAAATTTTTTTAATAGATCTAAATTGAGGAGTGTAATGGGAATATTTTAATAAATACAGCTGTTGTTAACTTGTTTGTTTACTTTACGGACTGCATGTAGCTACACCATCTTAAATTATCAATAAATACCGCGCCTACCTTTCATTTGTGCTATCAGGAAACTGGCAGTTGAGCAAGATTGAAGCTATAAACATAAAGAATATCGTTATGGGTTAGTGAGTTGACTTGTGCTTATTGTGTTTCTATTTTATTGCATTAATATCAAAATATTATTGAACAAAAATTTGTTAGAATCAAAAGTACTGAAGTTTGCCGATCTTTCATTGTTATTTTTGAGATAAATTTAATCTTCAAAAAGAGTTTTGGATTGTAAGCTGCTCATTTCTTACCATTTGTTGAGACGACTGTGAGATTTGGAAGAGTTCACCGGCAGAATGTTGGTTTCCACTGTGTATTAATGAAAATGAAGAATATTTAGTTAAAGAATGAAAGATGAAGAATATCGCATTTAGAAATTGCTGCCCTATTTTTTACCACCTAATTGTCGGTACAAACATGAAGCTAAATATTTGTCGACGTATATAATAGAGGGTGCCCAGAAATATTGCGCTAAGTTAAAGATAGGCGCAAACAGGGGCGTGTTTTAAATTTTGGTCGAGGCTGGCGCACACTTAGCAATTTTCCGCGGCCCTTGGATGACCCCACTAAATTCGGCTTAGAAAACGCATCATAAAACCCTCAAACTATAGCACTTTGAAAGACTGAAATCTTAGATAAATAAAATCTTACCAATCCCAGGAATACTCCATGTCAAAGAAGCGTAAAAACTGAAATAGTAAATAGTAAAAAGTCTGGTTAAGTGGAGAGTTGAACTGACTTCTCAAACTCAAACAGCAAAGACGCACCTTTGAAATAATAACATGTGTTATTGCAATATCTCATAACCATACTACTTCCTAGAATATTTATGCACGGATTTTACAACATCAACTAGAGTAATTTCCTTTGTTTCAAATCATGAATTATATCAGGAAAAATTAGAATACAACCTAAAATTATGCAACTGTTTAGGAGATCAATATACACGTGATAAAAAAGCAAACTTATTTTTCAATTGATAATAAAAAATTCTTTACCTCAGAATACTCCGAGATTTGAGACGCGTTTACGTAATCAAATGAACACTGGACACTACCAGCACTAAAAACGATATTTTGTATTAATGTAGGGGACTTGAAGTGGTAAAAGTCTGTAACCTCACCAAATAAAAGAACAGGTTTATATATTCAGAAGGTAAATCAATTACGTTTACTTAGGTCTTATATTACGTAATATGTTAAGTTTTACTCATGCATCCCAAATTCAAGCCAGGAATAGTCGAGAAAAAAGTTGTCAGGTATCGTTGCCTTGTTAGAATTCAAACCTACGCCTTTGCGATGCCGACATTACCATCGTAAATACACACTAACAACGCTCGCTCCTATGAGCTACCCGTGTAGCTTAAAAAAAAGATCATTGCACCGGCATCATAAAGGAGAAGGTTTGATTTCTGCGGAAGGCCACTTCTCAAAGGCATCGGAAAGTTTGCTAAATTTTTTCTCCTACTGACACTAGAATAAGTTCAGCATAAACTTAACATCTCCCCCTTGCGTTGAAAGATGAGGGTAGCTAAATGGGTGAGAAGCGCTTGTATGGTTTGTCGTGACGCAAGGAATACCTTTTTATTATTGTACTTTATAATAAAATATTACGTATTATTATCATCGTTATTTTTTCGTATCACAGATGAATAATATTTGCCCAAAATGAAGACAAACACGTGTCAATATAATAAAACATCCTTATGTTATAGCTAGACGCAATGTAAATAAAGATCTTACCTCAAAGATCTCTCAAACGTTTCTTCTTCAAACGAAAATACTGATTCCTCCTGTGAAAATTAGAACGTTTATAAGCTTATTAAAGTACTGCTTTAATTCCCGATTTCCAATTCATTCTTAAAATCACAGAACCGTCCACAAAAGAAAAACACTAATTCATACCTTATAGGAGATCCGAGAATCATTAGAATTCATATTCCTGGACAGAGGGGAAAGAAAAAATGCGTGAATAATGTTAAAAAGTTTTAAACAAAAATTCCCTTGAAGATCGAAGCGCAGTCTTAAACATTTAGAGAGCGAGAAACACGCAGAACCCAATTCTAGGCCATTCATACGCCTAAATGTAAAAATGTTATACAAAAATTTTTATTACAAAGCCGTATACAAGATGTATGAGAGTATTTTTAAACTTTGGCTTATTCATGCACCGTTTGAGCTAAACGCCTTTCGAACAACCGCTCCCAGAAAGTTTGCTAAATTTTTTGTCCTACTGACAGAAAAAAAATTCCATATAAACTTAACATCTCCCCTTGCGTTGAAAGATGAGGGTAGCTAAATGAGTAAGAAGCGCTTGTATGGTTTGTCGTGACGCAAGGAATACCTTTTTATTATTATACTTTTTAATAAAATATTACGTATTATTATCATCGTTATTTTTTCGTATCACAGATGAATAATATTTGCCCAAAATGAAGACAAACACGTGTCAATATAATAAAACATCCTTATGTTATAGCTAGACGCAATGTAAATAAAGATCATACCTCAGAGATCTCTCAAACGTTTCTTCTTCAAACGAAAATACTGATTCCTCCTGTGAAAATTAGAACGTTTATAAGCTTATTAAAGTACTGCTTTAATTCCCGATTTCCAATTCATTCTTAAAATCACAGAACCGTCCACAAAAGAAAATAACTAATTCATACCTTATAGGAAATCCGAGAATCATTAGAATTCATATTCCTGGACAGAGGGGAAAGAAAAAATGCGTGAATAATGTTAAAAAGTTTTAAACAAAAATTCCCTTAAAGATCGAAGCGCAGTCTTAAACATTTAGAGAGCGAGAAACACGCAGAACCCAATTCTAGGCCATTCATACGCCTAAATTTTAAAAATGTTATACAAAAATTCTTATTACAAAGCCGTATACAAGATGTATGAGAGTATTTTTAAACTTGGCTTATTCATGCACCGTTTAAGCTAAACGGCTTTCGAACAACCGCTCCCAGAAAGTTTGCTAAATTTTTTGTCCTACTGACACAAAAAAAATTCCACATAAACTTAACATCTCCCCCTTGCGTTGTAAGATGAGGGTAGCTAAATGAGTAAGAAGCGCCTGTATGGTTTGTCATGACACAAGGAATACCTTTTTATTATTATACTTTTTAATAAAATATTACGTATTATTCTCATCGTTATTTTTTCGTATCACAGATGAATAATATTCGCCCAAAATGAAGACAAACACGTGTAAATATAATAAAACATCCTTATGTTATAGCTAGACGCCATGTAAATAAAAATCACACCTCAGAGATCTCTCAAACGTTTCTTCCTCAAACGAAAATACTGATTCCTCCTGTGAAAATTAGAACGTTTATAAGCTTATTAAAGTACTGCTTTAATTCCCGATTTCCAATTCATTCTTAAAATCACAGAACCGTCCACAATAGAAAATAACTAATTCATACCTTATAGGAGATCCGAGAATCATTAGAATTCATATTCCTGGACAGAGGGGAAAGAAAAAATGCGTGAATAATGTTAAAAAGTTTTAAACAAAAATTCCCTTAAAGATCGAAGCGCAGTCTTAAACGTTTAGAGAGTGAGAAACACGCAGAACCCAATTCTAGGCCATTCATACGCCTAAATGTAAAAATGTTATACAAAAATTCTTATTACAAAGCCGTATACAAGATGTATGAGAGTATTTTTAAACTTTGGCTTATTCATGCACCGTTTAAGCTAAACGCCTTTCGAACAACCGCTACCAGAAAGTTTGCCAAATTTTTTGTCCTACTGACACAAAAAAATTCCATGTAAACTTAACATCTCCCCCTTGCGTTGAAAGATGAGGTTAGCTAAATGAGTAAGAAGCGCTTGTATGGTTTGTCGTGACGCAAGGAATACCTTTTTATTATTATACTTTATAATAAAATATTACGTATTATTATCATCGTTAATTTTCGTATCACAGATGAATAATATTTCCCCAAAATGAAGACAAACACGTGTCAATATAATAAAACATCCTTATGCTATAGCTAGACGCCATGTAAATAAAGATCATACCTCAGAGATCTCTCAAACGTTTCTTCTTCAAACGAAAATACTGATTCCTCCTGTGAAAATTAGAACGTTTACAAGCTTATTAAAGTACTGCTTTAATTCCCGATTACCAATTCATTCTTAAAATCACAGAGCCGTCCACAAGAGAAAAACACTAATTCATACCTTATAGGAGATCCGAGAATCATTAGAATTGATATTCCTGGACAGAGGGGAAAGAAAAAATGCATGAATAATGTTGAAAGTTTTAAACGTTTAGAGAGTGAGGCCCCCAAAACACGCAGAACCCAATTCTAGGCCATTCATACGCTAAATGTAAAGATGTTACACAAAAATTCTTATTACAAAGCCGTGAATTGACGTGGAACGGGCGTTTGGATTTACGCGCGCGTTTTTATTTGCGCGTGCATTTACTTTGTTCGTTCCGCTGAACTGCGGTGTTTAAGTATAATTTTGATTTCCATTTCTTAAATCAAATCTCAAAACCAGTTTACTTTGTCGATTTCGACGGTGAACTAAATTCTCTTCCTTCCGAAACACAAGCGGAACTGTGTAAACACTTTTCTCTCTTTATATTTTATAAATTAAGCCACTTAATAATACGCAAAATGAATTAAAACAAAAAATATATGCGAACCACAATTATTTTTACACTAAACAATAAAATCTTAAATATACTTACATATTTTCTCGATAATTTCAATGTAGAATATTGAACAGCAATATAACAACGCCTTTGAAAACAATTTGCAACGAACTAACTTCGCGAAATGTGAACCTCTCGAAAAATTTCGACAAGTGAGCGGTCCTTTGTTGACGTAGATAATTAATACTTTTGCGCCCGCGAGTTTTAATGAGCAAGCGAGACACTGAGTCAGCGTTCGCGATTATTTCGTAATATGGAAAATGTATAGTATAAATAAGTACCTATAATTATTTTATGTAAGTACATATTTATGCTGAAGTATGCAATCTACAATCTTGTGGTAATGTACAACGATTTCTTAAGCCTCGTTGACTCTCATTTACACCAGAGTGTTCAAAAAGTGCCTATAATATACGTAGTGATTCTTTCTTCAAAGGTGATTTATCTTGAGCCATTTTAGCCGAACATCAGATTTACAGTCCTGTTCGTCGTTTTACATTACGCCACGAGTTGTTAAATTCAAAATTATAATGTATCTTCAGAATGTGTGCAAGGAAAAAGTTCTGTTTTAAAACATTCGGCGGTTTAATTGAACTTACTCAAGAAACCTTTTGCTCAGATTTCATATTTTTAGCTTTAGGAACCTATCTACAGGTCTGTACCAATTGTGGCATCATTGCGATTTTTGGCTGTGCTCTTTTTCCGGAAGAACTTTAGCAGTTGTTGTCTTGTAGAAGCGAGGTCTGCAAGGTTGCTTGCTACAATCATGCAACAACTAAGTCTTCCATACTCAAAAGATCCACAGAAAATTTCTGTGTGATGATCTTTGAAAGGAGGTATTTTATTCTTTATACATAAAGAACATCCCCTTACAATATTGTGTGCTTCGTCGAAGATGATAATACTCTTTGAAATATCAATGTCGTTTGATTGTCATGACTATATTAAAGAGGAAAACTTTGTTGGATATATTTAATATATCTTGACCAATTCAGCTGAATGAGCTATCCCTACAGATACAGGCTCGATGCTAGGGGGGAGGGGATGGTAGGTATACGAAGATACTGATCTCTTACGTTCAAAAGAATGCATGCAGGCTTATGGATTCAAAAATACATACCAAGCAACTCGCGGTAAATATTTAAAACCGCTTCTTTTCACGAGAGTGAATTTTTTTAGGCGGAAAATCGGCTTTAAAAGCAGTCAAATCGAAGAGTCGAGTCAAATACCTTTGTATCGATTAAATAATTGTACGGCATGAATACAATGTCAGCATTTTTCACAAATGGAATTTTTCACAGATGAAATAAGGACAGCGACTATAAAAATAATAAATATATCAAAACGATCAGGCTCAAAATGACTTACACGAACTTGTCGCATTTATTGTCACCTTTCTTTCTTCCCAAGTCGAACAAGATCCTCAATATCCAAAATCTCCGATGCCAACTCTTTTGTACAGGAATCATCTACAACAAGAGATACAGAAATTAACAATAAGTTCCTGTTTAAATGAGCTTGTTAGGCATGCAATAAAATGCAGGCCCGTTCTAGACGTCGGACTTTTTATGTGCCGAATTGAATGCAAAAACAGACTAAAGACTCTAGGTTCCGAACATGAATGGACCATATAAATTCATCACTCTAGTTAGATTGACAGGGGAAAGCCCTCAAATTTAAAGTGTCTATTTGCAAGGGAAATACCAAACAATCTCTGACGATACTGTATTCGCCAATGGCAATGGCCGAATAGCCAAATAAAAACACTTCTTAGTGGTAGTACCTTGTTCAAGCATATTATAGTAATGACACGTCTTTGATAACACTTTCGTACGGCAAAAATGCCTGTAAAAATAGTAAAAACAACCTTCATGAACTGTGGGGATTATTTTAAGGGCAAAATATCCCGAGCGTGGTTATACTACACCTATGCACCTATACTGTAGATAGTGAATTATTCAGTTTATCGACCTGGCAAGAAAATGGGTATATGGTATGTATTTCAGCTACAAGCCTGTTTACCAACGAAGTCATTTATACTTGCCTTGGCCGTGTGTGTTTCTTGTTCAGGAACCTGGGGATGAATGCACAGCTGGTCACGTGATCCTAGCACGCATACTTTCGGTCTGAAACAAAAATAAATAGAAAACGTCAATTTCAAATTTTCCTCACAGTTAAATCTTAGTTTCCCGGTTGAACTCAGCACTCAGGGCTTCATGTTAATCGTGTTACCCTGCGTTGTTTTTGCGCTCGGGTTTGAGGCTGTGAATGCCGGGCTTAATTCAACCTCAAGCCAGTTGAAATTTGAAAATGCCTTATATCATATGAGCCGCGAGTATAATTAACTTACTTGTAAACTGTACTCTTCAGTTCATTTACGACTTGTGTAAGTTGTGAATGAGTTCTTGATGTGTAGATGATTTTTGGGATTAAATATTCGGGAGATTAATAGAGAAAAAATATATCAGGAAGCTTCTCGGTTAGAATATTTAGCTGAATGTGAGCTAGATAAGCAGGATATGCTCACATCCAAATAATCAAAGAAACAATAGCTATACGCGTTTATAAATATATTATTATAAATATGGCGGTGAATATATTATTGTGAAGTGATAAAAAATATTATAAACGAGTACATTTTAGAAGACAAACATGTTGACCTATGGCAAAATTATCTTGTTTATTTGACGTCAGATCGTTTGATAAAAGGCTATATAAAGGCTCATTGCAGAAATCTTAAAGAATATAAAGCAAACAAGTAAGAAAATCTTTGAAATTACATTGTACTTTCTGAGCGCATGTAAAACGCAATTGCTCATACTACATCATTTCTGTTGTTTGGTCATGCGATGAAAAAACGTGCAGCTATTGGTTCTTTGATTAATTATAGCGTCTAGCCCGCATTCTGATTGGTTCCTGAGGTCGCTACAGTTTCTCCATTTTGGCGCGAAATCGTAACATTCGCATTTTAGATCCGCCGTTGAGAAGTATATCAGCAAAATGTTTACTATTTTTCGCTTGGTAAGAAATATAATATCAATATTACAATTTCATCTGGGTTCCTCTTCACCATTTTTACATTTTTTAGCCCTTTGTTTCATTGAAAATGTGGAATATTCCTAAACAAGTTCGAAATTCTAATTATTGAAAATGGCAACAAAATCTAAAAGCAACACATACGCCATTTTTCAGGTAAACATAATTTCATCAGATTATATGAAGATTCATGAAGATGTTTTTTTGAAATTGTGTTTTTCCTAACCTTTTACAGTAAGTTGTGGCGTGTTATTAAGGGCAAAAATCACAATGTAAACAAAGTTATACGAAAGTTGAATGACTTCAGAAACCTGTTGCGCTTGGAATTTTCGCTAAAAATCGTTCCGTGTGTCAATTTCGACTGTATATTATAGGCTGTACAGTAGGGTACCTGAACTATAGATCTCGCTACTTTACTTTCATAAAAACTTGACCAAATGCCCTTATGGACTTTATGCCCAGATAATAGGCAATATATATGCGTTCAAATCAGACTCAGATTTTACAATAGTTAAACTTCACTTCACTTTACATTTACCTTCACTTTCTTCTGACATCCAGCCATCAGCAGCTTGCCCAAGGTTTCTTTCTAAATCATCACAAAACTGGCCACTTGCTTTATTTTCTTGAACCTTCATACTCAATTGCAAGCGAGCCACAAATGTGTCTCTCCAGGCCAGTGTTGCACAAAGTAAACATAATGTCTTTCCAGTTCCTGTTGGTGATTCTAAGATACCATTTTTACCCTAAAAATGCTAAGATGTTATTGTCTGCAGAAAGCTGGCTATTTATGTTATAATGTATGGGGGTGGTATGGTGGGGGTGAGCTACACATAACACCTCCCCACCTAGTCGTTTTAGTAATTGTTGATAACTTGACTCATATATTTTAAATGACAAACCCAAAAATAATTTACATTAAGCAAACAAACCCTTAACACCTGATGATATATTGATCATTAATTATACTTTAGCAACATTTAGTACAATTTGTACAAAACTTTAAAGATGGACGAGCAAAGGTAAGATATAACAAAAGACAAATAAAATAGTAGACACAAAACTTGATACAAATAAAAATCAATATATTTAGGTGAATTGCCAGATAATGGGTTGCTATAATTTTCAAGTTTTCATTCTTGTGGCTAACTGTCAGGTAAAATTCTTTTGTTTGTACCAAAGTCGAAATGATGGAGATTAGCGATGAGATTAGCTAATGATTTTTCAACAACATACCCTGTTGTTGCTTCGAAAAATAATGAAGAAAGCTGGAACCGTCAAATAGTGTCATCGCTGACATCAAATCTTTAGCTAGCTGGCCCTGTTAGGTTTACATGGAAAATTTCTAGCCCTACCAGGTGAGATCTTGGGTAGGCAATAGCAAGATCTAGCCTGGTAGGGTTGGCCCTCCTCTAATGTAAACAAAATTGTTCTTTAGTATGGATTCATAGTAGCATGAGCTATCTCGCTTGGTAGGGCTAGCTAGCCCTCCCTATAGCGCTCATGTAAACAGCCCTCAAGTGATTTTTTAAAAATTTACATTGGCTGGTAAATCTCAAGATTTTTGTGTGAGTTAGTGCACCAGGAAGCAAAGTTGTGCAATGCAGACATTTTAAGATCTTGGTCCTTTCTTTTCTAATTAATTAATGATTAACAAAGACTAAATTTATTGTAAAAATATTTCTGGAATGGATCCAGATTAATAATAGCTGATATTGATGGAAATTTTTTGATCATCTTCTGCAACTGTTCACGCTATACCCTTTTTAAAAATGCAGGAACAAAACGTGTTATTTGAGAGTTTATATCACCAAGAGTACTGTACTACATAAACATTGAATCAAAATGCAAATCAACATATAAGAGAATAGGAATGCATCAGTGTCGATGTGTCAGCGATCAGAGACTAACAAGAATCGTACCGACTCTCATAATCATCTCAGACAAGGTCTATGTTATTAAACACCATCAAAATTCAAAACAAAATAATTATAAAATGTAGGCAAACCAACCTCTTGCAAACATTCAATAACTTTGCTCATGTAGTTTACTTGGCAGTCGTAAGGCTTGTATGGGAAATCAATTTCGACTCCCCGTACCTTGATCACTGGCATGGTTGAACGGTGAATCTAAAATACTACATTTTGTTGCAAAAGTATTCGCCTTAATTAAATTCTACAAAGTAACAAAAGCAAACGATCATGAGCAAATGCTTATTTTTTTCACAATTTGCGCCATTTGTCTTCGTTAGTACTCAGTCTTCTCAGGACGGGCACTGAACTCATGCTTAACCAGGATGGTTGAATTTAGAGCTAAAAGCTAGCTGAAACTCGAGTAAACCTGAAATAGATCTTATGCATAATAACGTATCAAGCCGTGACGCCTGCACAGAATTCTTGTTTTAAGTAGTCACTGCGAAAAATTCAAACTTACAATTTCATTCAAACTTCATATAATGATATATATTCATAACTTCATGCACTTGACAACTATTTACAATGATGTTTGCAATTGATCTTATACAAACATTTGCACAGCCTGTTCTCTAAACCAGTTTAATAATGCTCCTTTACTCTCCTGCAATCACAGTCAGACCATTGGTCTTATAATGGCCTAGAGACTTCTCAGCAGAATACTCTCAGACGATTCATAGGTAATTGTCGACACTTTCTGGTTGATCAAAGCAGCTCTCTGCCAGTGACTGTCACAATCATGGTGATGTTAACTTTCTCCGGAATGGTGCAGGTCAGGTGAATTTCCAACTTCGATTGATCGACCACTGAAGGAGGAGAGTACCAAAACGAACAATTGGCACTAGGATGATTGACCAATTACCGAGAACATGAATAAGTTCATAGCTGTATAAGTTCAGAGCATTAGCTTAGTTCGTCAACACTGCTCGCAAATATGTTCTTCCTACTGGCCACCAATGAGATGTTTTATTTGATGGCAGAATGGTATGACAGGATATTCAGCTTGGCGTTCGTGGCTCCGGGTTAGCGAAAACGGAGCTGGCTCCGGGTTCGCGAACCGGTTTCATACAAACCGATGTGGCCGCTTCGCTTTCAATGGTAATCGAAAAATTTAAAAAGGCTATTTTTCTTTGTTATATTGTTAAGAACATGGCCGAAAATGAGAGTTTTATTTCATTTAGTTTGCTCGCAATAGCTCCGTAAAGTTGGCTAATTTTTGCACAAAGTTGACTGGTCAGCGGCATGGGCGACGGCAAGGCTTTATAAAAGTTCGATTTACTAGCTTAGTTTTTGTAAAAACCAAAAGATGGCGATTCGAGAGAAAGCTTATGAGAATATCTTCTAGCTTGCGAAATCACGACAAGCAACTTGTTTAAAGTCTAGCAATTTGATTTCATGCACGTACCCGTGATATAAATGTAATCCCTTCGCGAAGGCAACTAACCCGGTTTCTGCAAATTTTTGTTTTTCCACATAGGTTTTTCCACATATGATCAATGTCAATGTAAATGTCATATGATCAATATAACATTTGATCATATGACATTTACATTGACATTGATCATATGACATTTACAGTTCAATAAACCTATGTGGAAAAACGCAGTAACCGGGCTAGTTGCCTTCGCGAAGGGATCCGGATTAAAATTTATGTCACGGGTGCGTGCATGAAATCAGACGGCTACAGAAGTTGCCTGTCGTGTTTTCGCAAGCTAGAAGGTTAGAAGTATAAGGATTCTCATAAGCTGTCTCTCGAATGGCCATCTTTGAGTTTTTACAAAAACTCGTCGTAAAGCTAGTAAATCGAACTTTTATAAAGCAGCCGCTGACCAGTCAACTTTGCGCCAGCTTTAAAAAAAGCCAACTTTACGGAGCTACTAAATAAGACTCTCATTTTCGGCCATGTTCTTAAGAATATATATAAAAAAGAAAAATTAAGGCCTTTTTAAATTTTTCGATTTCCAAAGCGAAGCGGCCACATCGGCTTGTATGAAAACTAATCACTCCAGCTCCGTTTTCGCGAACCCGGAGCCACAAGCCTGGAGCTGAATATCCTGTCATCAGAATGGTAACTACTGGTCGCAATGGCTGGCCGGCTCATCGACAGTGAACGGCCATTCCTGGTAATTTTCTTCCATGGACGTCTCCAACAATTCCTGACTGTTTATCTGGGATTGGTTCGATGACTGGCCAACAGATGACTGGCCAACAGATGACTGGCCACTGATTGTTGGCGATTTGCTTCCAGCTGTTTGGTGAAGAGCCTGGAATGACGTTTGTTTGGCCATGGCCACGGCAGAGACGTCGTACGAACCACGACGTCTGTGGAAAATACGACGGAAAAAGGATGACAGTCGTTCAGTATATGAACGCTTTACTCGCAACCTTAAAGAGAAAAAAACATAATTTCTATAATTGTTGCCATAGACCCCTAATCCTGATGATTTGAAGAATATTGTCATGCTAATAGACACAGCAAAACAACTTTCACAACTACACAGCCTTGTTTCAAAATGTAAACGATTAGACAGAATTAGAAATAACGTTGCAAAGGCTTCGCAACCAGCAAAGGTGGATAGTAACCAACATCAAATGCATGATTTAACAACTCAGTATTCAACATCAGTACATCAGTAAAGCACGTTTACATCGTCGCTGCGACCACTGACTAGGAACCTAGGCATATTGTTGCACTATTTCGGGATCACACCGTCTCCGAAATACATATTGATATTAGTTGAAGGTGAAGTTACTCACCAGGAGTGCTTTGCAACTTTTTTTATACTTGGTCGGGCCGCTGGGTCCATGCTAAATAATTTTCTCATTAGGTCTTGCAAATCTACAGATAAAAAATTCGAATACAAAATCCTGGATGGCCTTGTCGTATATATGAGAAAAACGAAAAAACAACAAGCAAGATTTAAATATTCTTAGCAACAACGGTTGGTGTAATTGATATGCATTCCAACTTCAAAAGGGAATTCGGGAATATATGTATGAATGCTGATCTCTATATTTTCCGGCTTTCTCTAACCTGTTATAATTTCATGAATTTAACTCACCTTCAGATAAATCATCCAGTTTTGGCGGTCCTGAGATAACATCTGCAAATGTTGTGTAATCCGTAAAAGCTGGTTCGCCGTGCAACATTTCATATATCATGACTCCAATAGACCGCACAGCTTCCTTGCAAGGATCATACAATTCATGCAGAATGTATTCTGGAGGCATATTGTATGGAGTGCCTGAGGGAATAAAACATGTACAATGAAATTAACCAGTCTTTGAATGGAATAAAACTACTAAGCAATGACAAACGACGGAAAAGTTGAAATTTAAGAAAATGAGAAATATTACTGGGGTTGATAGTTTTACAACAGATTAAACCTGACTAAAATTAAAGCCAGTATTTTGAAACCTGAGAAAGTAAATTCTCACAGGTTTGATCAAGGATTTTTAACAATGTAGCTGATGAATTGCTACTTTGGAAGAGAAATTCGAAAGACAAATTTGTTTTATGATAACAAAATCTCACGCTAAAGGTGCATGGGAACGGAATTTGGTGATTAAAACTCAGACAACAGAGATAACAACCTCGTACCCAGGGCCTTTTTACCTCCGCTCCAAGGCCCACGCTGGTACGAGGTTGCAGAGGTAAATTATTCATGACATTCCAGGAAAGTTTACTCACCACAGAATGCGTCAACTAGGTTGCCAGGTTTATGATACCCTGCAAATCCAAAATCAAGCAACTTGATTTCACCAGTATCAAAATCATAAAGGATGTTCTCCAATTTCAGATCACGATGAACGATGTTCTTCTTGGACATCGCCAATACAACGTTGACCAACTTCTTCATGCATTGTTGAGTTTCATCCTCGGTGAAGAAACCTCCAACGTCCCACATGAGGCTTCGGAGATCTTTGCAATGAGTCGGTCTTTCGCAAATGATCACAAATTCCTCAGATGATAAAAACTGATAATGATAGAACTTGATGACATTTGGATGATCTTTCATCTTCTTCAGGAAATACACTTCACTTGGTACATCACCGAGGTCTTTATCCTGTTAAAGAACAATTGTAGGAGAATTCGATATCGTTGTTTAGCAAACGAATGACAACTGTTCGATAGGGTGTCCTAGTACAGTACCCGCTTCTGTCCGCTGTTTCAAAAGTGATGGTGGACAATGCGAAAATGATTACTTTTCTTCATGCTACACAAATCTTTGATACAATCAAAGAACCATTGCTGATTTCACGAAATTTTAGGTAACTTAAATTAATTTTGAAATTCAGCCTGGAAATTAGATACCTCTTTGATTCAAAATGGTAATTCAATATCGTCATGAGTGGAAACGGCTAACAAAATTAATCATTTAATATGTTTGCAACACTCAATTTTCACGGACTGTAAGCTATATCATCTCCTATGCCCATAACGTCAACCTCGCGGAGTTTCAACGACCTTACTGTTACTCACCTTGCGATACTCACGAACCGTTTTATACTTTACAAATTTCAGGGCGACCTAAGAGTAGAAAAAAATTAACCGCTTACATCGATGGTTTTCCTGAAAAATTCAACGGTATGGCTGACAACTAGTAAGATTTGGGCATTTTACTTCATCTCAGAAGCATGGAGGGCATAATGGCAAATAATGCCGAGGATTGTTTGCTTTTGGAAGGAGAGACATTTTGTAAGAATTACCGGTGTTTTTTTGGTTCCTTTTATGGCATAACCCTTGAAAACTCCACCAAATCCACCTTCGCCAATCAAGCCATTTTCGATAAAGTAGTATGTCACACCTGAAAGTCAAAAGCAATTGCTTGTTAATACAACTAAATAACTAAAGAAATATGTAAAGTAAAATGGATTTTAGAATAAAAAAACAAATGCTAAAAAAATAGGTTCGTGATTTCTATAACGTTAGAATCGACTTGCCTTTTGACTTGCAAACTTCAACAAGGTTTTCCCCATCGACAACTCTAGTGACGCGTGGCACATTTGAAGGTTGGGAAGGTTTGACTTGGCTTTCTTTCATGATTTTCCACTTGATGAGTTTTTCTTTCAAAATGTTACGCTTTCTCTTCACGTCATAGATGCTTGGGAATATAAATTGAAAATTTTTTTAATATATCTAAATTGAGGAGTGTAATGGGAATATTTTAATAAATACAGCTGTTGTTAACTTGTTTGTTTACTTTACGGACTGCATGTAGCTACACCATCTTAAATTATCAATAAATACCGCGCCTACCTTTCATTTGTGCTATCTGGAAATGCAGTTGAGCAAGATTGAAGCTATAAACATAAAGAATATCGTTATGGATTAGTGAGTTGACTTGTGCTTATTGTGTTTCTATTTAATTGCATTAATATCAAAATATTATTGAACAAAAACTTTTTAGAATCAAAAGTACTGAAGTTTGCCGATCTTTCATTGTTATTTTGAGATAAATTTAATCTTCAAAAAGAGTTTTGGATTGTAAGTGCTCATTTCTTACCATTTGTTGAGACGACTGTGAGATTTGGAAGAGTTCACCGGCAGAATGTTGGTTTCCACTGTGCATTAATGAAAATAAAGAATATTTAGTTAAAAATGAAAGATGAAGAATATCGCATTTAGAAATTGCTGCCCTATTTTTTACCACCTAATTGTCGGTACAAACATGAAGCTACATATTTGTCGACGTATATAATAGAGGGTGCCCAGAAATATTGCGCTAAGTTAAGATAGGCGCAAACAGGGGCGTGTTTTAAATTTTGGTCGAGGCTGGCGCACACTTAGCAATTTTCCGCGGCCCTTGGATGACCCCACTAAATTCGGCTTAGAAAACGCATCATAAAACCCTCAAACTATAGCACTTTGAAAGACTGAAATCTTAGATAAATAAAATCTTACCAATCCCAGGAATACTCCATGTCAAAGAAGCGTAAAAACTGAAATAGTAAATAGTAAAAAGTCTGGTTAAGTGGAGAGTTGAACTGACTTCTCAAACTCAAACAGCAAAGACGCGCCTTTGAAATAATAACATGTGTTATTTCAATATCTCATAACCATACTACTTCCTAGAATATTTATGCACGGATTTTACAACATCAACTAGAGTAATTTCCTTTGTTTCAAATCATGAATTATATCAGGAAAAATTAGAATACAACCTAAAATTATGCAACTGTTTAGGAGATCAATATACACGTGATAAAAAAGCAAACTTATTTTTCAATTGATAATAAAAAATTCTTTACCTCAGAATACTCCGAGATTTGAGACGCGTTTACGTAATCAAATGAACACTGGACACTACCAGCACTAAAAACGATATTTTGTATTAATGTAGGGGACTTGAAGTGGTAAAAGTCTGTAACCTCACCAAATAAAAGAACAGGTTTATATATTCGGAAGGTAAATCAATTACGTTTATTTAAGTCTTATATTACGTAATATATTAAGTTTTACTAATGCATCCCAAATTCAAGCCAGGAATAGTCGAGGAAAAAGTTGTCAGGTATCGTTGCCTTGTTAGAATTCAAACCTACGCCTTTGCGATGCCGACATTATTATTATCATCGTTATTTTTTCGTATCACAGATGAATAATATTTCCCCAAAATAAAGACAAACACGTGTCAATATAATAAAACATCCTTATGTTATAGCTAGACGCAATGTAAATAAAGATCACACCTCAGAGATCTCTCAAACGTTTCTTCTTCAAACGAAAATACTGATTCCTCCTGTGAAAATTAGAACGTTTATAAGCTTAATAAAGTATTGCTTTAATTCCCGATTTCCAATTCATTCTTAAAATCACAGAGCCGTCCACAAAAGAAAAACACTAATTCATACCTTATAGGAGATCCGAGAATCATTAGAATTGATATTCCTGGACAGAGGGGAAAGAAAAAATGCATTAATAATGTTAAAAGTTTTAAACAAAAATTCCCTTAAAGATCGAAGCGCAGTCTTAAACATTTAGACAGCGAGAAACACGCAGAATCCAATTCTAGGCCATTCATACGCCTAAATGTAAAAATGTTATACAAAATTCTTATTACAAAGCCGTATACAAGATGTATGAGAGTATTTTTAAACTTTGGCTTATTCATGCACCGTTTGAGCTAAACGCCTTTCGAACAACCGCTCCCAGAAAGTTTGCTAAATTTTTGTCCTACTGACAGAAAAAAAATTCCATATAAACTAAACATCTCCCCCTTGCGTTGAAAGATGAGGGTAGCTAAATGAGTAAGAAGCACTTGTATGGTTTGTCGTGACGCAAGGAATACCTTTTTATTATTATACTTTATAATAATATTACGTATTATTATCATCGTTATTTTTTCGTATCACAGATGAATAATATTTGCCCAAAATGAAGACAAACACGTGTTAATATAATAAAACATCCTTATGTTATAGCTAGACGCAATGTAAATAAAGATCATACCTGAGGGATCTCTCAAACGTTTCTTCAAACGAAAATACTGATTCCTCCTGTGAAAATTAGAACGTTTATAAGCTTAATAAAGTATTGCTTTAATTCCCGATTTCCAAATCATTCTTAAAATCACAGAACCGTCCACAAAAGAAAAACACTAATTCATACCTTATAGGAGATCCGAGAATCATTAGAATTGATATTCCTGGACAGAGGGAAAGAAAAAATGCATGAATAATGTTAAAAGTTTTAAACAAAAATTCCCTTAAAGATCGAAGCGCAGTCTTAAACATTTAGAGAGCGAGAAACACGCAGAATCCAATTCTAGGCCATTCATACGCCTAAATGTAAAAATGTTATACAAAAATTCTTATTACAAAGCCGTATACAAGATGTATGAGAGTATTTTTAAACTTTGGCTTATTCATGCACCGTTTGAGCTAAACGCCTTTCGAACAACCGCTCCCAGAAAGTTTGCTAAATTTTTTGTCCTACTGACAGAAAAAAAAATTCCATATAAACTAAACATCTCCCCCTTGCGTTGAAAGATGAGGGTAGCTAAATGAGTAAGAAGCACTTGTATGGTTTGTCGTGACGCAAGGAATACCTTTTTTATTATACTTTATAATAAAATATTACGTATTATTATCATCGTTAATTTTCGTATCACAGATGAATAATATTTCCCCAAAATGAAGACAAACACGTGTCAGTATAATAAAACATCCTTATGCTATAGCTAGACGCCATGTAAATAAAGATCATACCTCAGAGATCTCTCAAACGTTTCTTCTTCAAACGAAAATACTGATTCCTCCTGTGAAAATTAGAACGTTTATAAGCTTATTAAAGTACTGCTTTAATTCCCGATTTCCAATTCATTCTTAAAATCACAGAGCCACAAAAGAAAACTAATTCATACCTTATAGGAGATCCGAGAATCATTAGAATTGATATTCCTGGACAGAGGGGAAAGAAAAAATGCATGAATAATGTTGAAAGTTTTAAACGTTTAGAGAGTGAGGCCCCCAAAACACGCAGAACCCAATTCTAGGCCATTCATACGCAAATGTAAAGATGTTACACAAAAATTCTTATTACAAAGCCGTGAATTGACGTGGAACGGGCGTTTGGATTTACGCGCGCGTTTTTATTTGCGCGTGCATTTACTTTGTTCGTTCCGCTGAACTGCGGTGTTTAAGTATAATTTTGATTTCCATTTCTTAAATCAAATCTCAAAACCAGTTTACGTTGTCGATTTCGACGGTGAACTAAATTCTTTCCTTCCGAAACACAAGCGGAACTGTGTAAACACTTTCTCTCTTTATATTTATAAATTAAGCTTAATAATACGCAAAATGAATTAAAACAAAAAATATATGTAACCACAATTATTTTTACACTAAACAATAAAATCTTAAATATACTTACATATTTTCTCGATAATTTCAATGTAGAATATTGAACAGCAATATAACAACGCCTTTGAAAACAATTTGCAACGAACTAACTTCGCGAAATGTGAACCTCTCGAAAAATTTCGACAAGTGAGCGGTCCTTTGTTGACGTAGATAATTAATACTTTTGCGCCCGCGAGTTTTGGTGAGCAAGCGAGACACTGAGTCAGCGTTCGCGATTACCTCGTAATATGGAAAATGTATAGTATAAATAAGTACCTATAATTATTTTATGTAAGTACATATTTATGCTGAAGTATGCAATCTACAATCTTGTGGTAATGTACAACGATTTCTTAAGCCTCGTTGACTCTCATTTACACCAGAGTGTTCAAAAAGTGCCTATAATATACGTAGTGATTCTTTCTTCAAAGGTGATTTATCTTGAGCCATTTTAGCCGAACATCAGATTTACAGTCCTGTTCGTCGTTTTACATTACGCCACGAGTTGTTAAATTCAAAATTATAATGTATCTTCAGAATGTGTGCAAGGAAAAAGTTCTGTTTTAAAACATTCGGCGGTTTAATTGAACTTACTCAAGAAACCTTTGCTCAGATTTCATATTTTTAGCTTTAGGAACCTATCTACAGGTCTGTACCAATTGTGGCATCATTGCGATTTTTGGCTGTGCTCTTTTTCCGGAAGAACTTTAGCAGTTGTTGTCTTGTAGAAGCGAGGTCTGCAAGGTTGCTTGCTACAATCATGCAACAACTAAGTCTTCCATACTCAAAAGATCCACAGAAAATTTCTGTGTGATGATCTTTGAAAGGAGGTATTTTATTCTTTATACATAAAGAACATCCCCTTACAATATTGTGTGCTTCGTCGAAGATGATAATACTCTTTGAAATATCAATGTCGTTTGATTGCATGACTATATTAAAGAGGAAAACTTTGTTGGATATATTTAATATATCTTGACCAATTCAGCTGAATGAGCTATCCCTACAGATACAGGCTCGATGCTAGGGGGGAGGGGATGGTAGGTATACGAAGATACTGATCTCTTACGTTCAAAAGAATGCATGCAGGCTTATGGATTCAAAAATACATACCAAGCAACTCGCGGTAAATATTTAAAAACCGCTTCTTTTCACGAGAGTGAATTTTTTTAGGCGGAAAATCGGCTTTAAAAGCAGTCAAATCGAAGAGTCGAGTCAAATACCTTTGTATCGATTAAATAATTGTACGGCATGAATACAATGTCAGCATTTTTCACAAATGGAATTTTTCACAGATGAAATAAGGACAGCGACTATAAAAATAATAAATATATCAAAACGATCAGGCTCAAAATGACTTACACGAACTTGTCGCATTTATTGTCACCTTTCTTTCTTCCCAAGTCGAACAAGATCCTCAATATCCAAAATCTCCGATGCCAACTCTTACAGGAATCATCTACACACAAGAGATACAGAAATTAACAATAAGTTCCTGTTTAAATGAGCTTGTTAGGCATGCAATAAAATGCAGGCCCGTTCTAGACGTCGGACTTTTTATGTGCCGAATTGAATGCAAAAACAGACTAAAGACTCTAGGTTCCGAACATGAATGGACCATATAAATTCATCACTCTAGTTAGATTGACAGGGGAAAGCCCTCAAATTTAAAGTGTCTATTTGCAAGGGAAATACCAAACAATCTCTGACGATACTGTATTCGCCAATGGCAATGGCCGAATAGCCAAATAAAAACACTTCTTAGTGGTAGTACCTTGTTCAAGCATATTATAGTAATGACACGTCTTTGATAACACTTTCGTACGGCAAAAATGCCTGTAAAAATAAAAAAACCTTCATGAACTGTGGGGATTATTTTAAGGGCAAAATATCCCGAGCGTGGTTATACTACTACCTATGCACCTATACTGTAGATAGTGAATTATTCAGTTTATCGACCTGGCAAGAAAATGGGTATATGGTATGTATTTCAGCTACAAGCCTGTTTACCAACGAAGTCATTTATACTTGCCTTGGCCGTGTGTGTTTCTTGTTCAGGAACCTGGGGATGAATGCACAGCTGGTCACGTGATCCTAGCACGCATACTTTCGGTCTGAAACAAAAATAAATAGAAAACGTCAATTTCAAATTTTCCTCACAGTTAAATCTTAGTTTCCCGGTTGAACTCAGCACTCAGGGCTTCATGTTAATCGTGTTACCCTGCGTTGTTTTTGCGCTCGGGTTTGAGGCTGTGAATGCCGGGCTTAATTCAACCTCAAGCCAGTTGAAATTTGAAAATGCCTTATATCATATGAGCCGCGAGTATAATTAACTTACTTGTAAACTGTACTCTTCAGTTCATTTACGACTTGTGTAAGTTGTGAATGAGTTCTTGATGTGTAGATGATTTTTGGGATTAAATATTCGGGAGATTAATAGAGAAAAAATATATCAGGAAGCTTCTCGGTTAGAATATTTAGCTGAATGTGAGCTAGATAAGCAGGATATGCTCACATCCAAATAATCAAAGAAACAATAGCTATACGCGTTTATAAATATATTATTATAAATATGGCGGTGAATATATTATTGTGAAGTGATAAAAAATATTATGAACGAGTACATTTTAAAAGACAAACAGGTTGACCTATGGCAAAATTATCTTGTTTATTTGACGTCAGATCGTTTGATAAAAGGCTATATAAAGGCTCATTGCAGAAATCTTAAAGAATATAAAGCAAACAAGTAAGAAAATCTTTGAAATTGTACTTTCTGAGCGCATGTAAAACACAATTGCTTTACTACATCATTTCTGTTGTTTGGTCATGCGATGAAAAAACGTGCAGCTATTGGTTCTTTGATTAATTATAGCGTCTAGCCCGCATTCTGATTGGTTCCTGAGGTCGCTACAGTTTCTCCATTTTGGCGCGAAATCGTAACATTCGCATTTTAGATCCGCCGTTGAGAAGTATATCAGCAAAATGTTTACTATTTTTCGCTTGGTAAGAAATATAATATCAATATTACAGTTTCAACCGGGTTCCTCTTCACCATTTTTACATTTTAGCCCTTTGTTTTATTGAAAATGTGGAATATTCCTAAACAAGTTCGAAATTCTAATTATTGAAAATGGCAACAAAATCTAAAAGCAACACATACGCCATTTTTCAGGTAAACATAATTTCATCAGATTATATGAAGATTCATGAAGATGTTGTTTTGAAATTGTGTTTTTTCTAACCTTTTACAGTAAGTTGTGTCTTGTTATTAAGGGCAAAAATCACAATGTAAACAAAGTTATACGAAAGTTGAATGACTTCAGAAACCTGTTGCGCTTGGAATTTTCGTTAAAAATCGTTCCGTGTATCAATTTCGAGACTTAATTATAGGCTGACAGAAGATACCTGAACTATAGATCTCGCTACTTTATTTTCATAAAAACTAGACTAAATGCCCTTATGGACTTTATGCCCAGATAATAGGCAATATATATGCGTTCAAATCAGACTCACATTTTACAATAGTTTACCTTCACTTCACTTTACATTTACGGATTTTACCTTCACTTTCTTCTGACATCCAGCCATCAGCAGCATGCCCAAGGTTTCTTTCTAAATCATCACAAAACTGGCCACTTGCTTTATTTTCTTGAACCTTCATACTCAGTTGCAAGCGAGCTACAAATGTGTCTCTCCAGGCCAGTGTTGCACAAAGTAAACATAATGTTTTTCCAGTTCCTGTTGGTGATTCTAAGATACCATTTTTACCCTAAAAATGCTAGGATGTTATTGTCTGCAGAAAGCTGGCTATTTGTGTTATAATGTATGGGGTGTATGGTGGGGTGAGCCACAATTAGGCAGGGTGGGGGTGAGACATATATAACACTAAAAGAAAAAAATACACAGCTTTTTAGTAATTGTTGATAACTTGACTCATATATTAATGACAAACCCAAAAATAATTTACATTAATGCAAACCAACCCTTAACACCTAATTATATTTTAGCAACATTTAGTACAAAACTTTGAACTTTAAAGATGGAGGAGCAAAGGTAAGATATTATAACACAAAACAAATAAAATAGTTAAATAGTAGACACAAAAATTGATACAAATAAAAATCATATTTGTGTGAATTAATTGCCAGATAATGTGCTGCTACAATTTTCAAGTTTTCATTCTTGTGGCTAACTGTCAGGTAAAATTCTTTTGTTTGTACCAAAGTCGAAATGATGGAAATTAAAGACATTAAAGGGCTGTTTACCTGAGCCCTAGCGGAAGGGAAGGCTAGCCCAACCTGTAGGGCTGTTTTTCACCTCTGTTTACATGAAAAATTTTAGCCCCACATCTAGGGCTGAGTCTGGATGGCACATTTTGGCACTAAAAACCAAAATGGCTGGCAAAAAAAACACAAAATTATTATTTTCATTATTTCATTTAAAATATCTTTACTTTTCCTGATGATTTTTCAACAGTATACTCTGTTATTGCTTCGAAAAATTAATGAAGAAAGCTGGAACCGTCAAATAGTGTCATCGCTGATGTCAAATCTTTAGCTATAGCTGGCCCTGTTACGTTTACATGGAAAATTTCCAGCCCTACCAGGCAAGATCTCGGGTAGTCAATAACGAGATCTCGCCTGGTAGGGCGCTGGCCCTCCTCTAATGAAAACAAAATTTTTCTTTAGTATGGATTCATAGTAGCACGAGCTATCTCGCTTGGTAGGGCTAGCTAGCCTTCCCTATAGGGCTCATGTAAACAGCCCTCAAGTGATTTTTTAAAAATATACATTGGCTGGTAAATCTGAAGATTTTTGTGTGGGTTAGTGCGCCAGGAAGCAAAATTGTGAAATGCAGACATTTTAAGATTTTGGTCCTTTCTTTTCTAATTGATTAATGATTAACAAAGACTAAATTTATTGTAAAAATATTTCTGGAATGGATCCAGATTAATAATAGCTGATATTGATGGAAATTTTTTGATAATCTTCTGCAACTGTTCATGCTATACCCTTTTTAAAATACAGGAACAAAACGTGTTATTTGTGAGTTTATATCACCAAGAGTACTGTACTAGTACTACATAAACATTGAGTTAAAATGCAAATCAACAGATAAGAGAATAGGAATGCATCAGAGCCGATGTCTCAGCAATCAGAGACTAACAAGAATTGTACACAAGACTCTCATAATCATCTCAGACAAGGACTATGTTAAACACCATCAAAATTCGAAACAAAATAAAATGTAAGCCAAGTACCAACCTCTTGCAAACATTCAATCACTTTGCTCATATAGTTTACTTGGCAGTCGTAAGGCTTGTATGGGAAATCAATTTCGACTCCCCGTACCTTGATCACTGGCATGGTTGAACGGTGAGTCTAAAATACTACATTTTGTTGCAAAAGTATTCGCCTTTAAATTCTACAAAGTAACAAAAGCAAACGATCATGAGCAAATGCTTATTTTTTTCACAATTTGCGCCATTTGTCTTCGTTAGTCCTCAGTCTTCTCAGGACGGGCACTGAACTCATGCTTAACCTGGATGGTTGAATAACTTGGCAGCTTAAACTCGAGTAAACCTGAAATAGATCTTATGCATAATGACGTAACAAGCCGTGACGCCTGCAGAGAATTCTTGTTTTAGTAGTCACTGCGAAAAATTCAAACTTACATGTATCTACTGATATATATTCATAATTTCATGCACTTAACAACTATTTACAATGATGTTTGCAATTGATCTTATACAAACATTTGCACAGCCTGTTCTCTAAACTAGTTTAATAATGCTCCTTTACTCTCCTGCAATCACAGTCAGACCATTGGTCTTATAATGGCCGAGAGTTCTCAGCAGAATACTCTCAGACGGTTCATAGGTAATTGTCGACACTTGCCGTAACTTTCTGGTTGATCAAAGCAGCTCTCTGCCAGTGGCTTCCACATGGTGATGTTAACTTTCTCCGGAATGGTGCAGGTCAGGTGAATTTCTAACTTCGATTGATCATTGAAGAGGAGAGTACCAAAAAGAGCAATTGGCACTAGGATGATTGACCAATTACCGAGAACATGAATAAGTTCATAGCTGTATAAGTTCAGAGCATTAGCTTAGTTCGTCAACACTGCTCGCAAATATGTTCTTCCTACTGGCCACCAATGAGATGTCTTATTTGATGGCAGAATGGTATGACAGGATATTCAGCTTGGCGTTCGTGGCTCCGGGTTCGCGAAAACGGAGCTGGCTCCGAGTTCGCGAACCGGTTTCATACAAACCGATGTGGCCGCTTCGCTTTTAATACAATATTGTTAAGAACATGGCCGAAAATGAGAGTTTTATTTCATTTAGTTTGCTCGCAATAGCTCCGTAAAGTTGGCTAATTTTTGCACAAAGTTGACTGGTCAGCGGCATGGGCGACGGCAAGGGTTTATAAAAGTTCGATTTACTAGC